TTAAGGTATACAATGCAGTGACAGTCATCATTGGAAATTTGTACTTTTACATAATTCATCTTGGTTCTTATTTTTTCCCCATTCCCCTGCCCTCCCTTCAACCCCTCCACCCCTCCCTGTCTACAAAGACTTTGTTTCCATTTTTTCTTTTTCTCATGTTAATTTTATTCCCATCTTTCTTTTCCCCTACCCCTCCCATTTCCCCTTCCTCTTTGCACCTTTTCTTCCTATTTCACATATTCTGTTATACCTTTTAGTCCTTATGTATGCTTTTAGTTTTTCAGTCCTAGTTCTTGAGGTATCTCCATACCGATTTCCACAGTGGTCTACGCTTCCATCAGCAGTGGAGCAGGGTTCCTCTTCCCCCACAGCCCCACCAGCATTTGTCATTGGTTGATTTCATGATAGCAGCCATTCTTTCTGGGGTGAGGTGGAATCTCAGTGGTGTTTTCATTTGTATTTCTTGAATGACCAGTGCTGTTCAACATTTTCATATGTTTATGTGCTGTTTCTATCTCTTTGTCTGAGAAGTGTCTGTTCATTTCAGATGGCTAGTTTTGGATTAGGTCATTAAATTTGGTATTGATTTTTTTGGGGTCATTAAATTTTGGCATTGATATTTTTAAGTTCCTTATATATCCTAGATAGTAGACCTTTGTCTGAGGAACAGCTGATAAAATTTTTTCCCCGATATTGTGGGTTGTCTCTTCACATAGTTGGTCATTTTTCTTGCTGTGCAGAAGCTTTTTAATAAGAAGAGATCCCATTTGTTGATTGTGCTAGCTCATGGGCAACTGAGGTTTTGTTTGTAAAATCTTTTCCTACACCAGTGTCTTCAAGAGTTCTACCTAACTCCTCTTCCAGCTGGTTTAGTGTCTCTGTTTTAATATTTAGATCTTTAATCCATTTTTATTTTAGTTTAGTGAATGGTGAGAGATATAGGTCTAGTTTTAATCTTTTGCAAGTTGAAACCCATATTTTCCAGCACCATTTATTGAAGAGACTATTTTTCCTCCAGTGAGGGTGTTCGCTCTTTTGTCAAAGATGAGGTGGCTGAATGTGTCTGGACTTGTTTCTGCATCTTCTAGTCTGTTCCACCATTCCCCAGGTCTGTTTCTTTGCCAGTACCATGTTGTAGCTTTGTAGTATAGTTTAAAGTTGGAGATTGTGATACCCCCTACCTTGTCTTTATTACCTAAAATTGCTTTTGCTTATCTAGGTCTCTTCTTGTTCCAAATGAATTTTTGGATTGTTTGCTCAAGGTCTGTGAAGTATGCTGCTGGAATTTTTTATTCTTATGAAAAGATCTAAAGTTTTAGTGGGCCTGTGTCTCAGGGCTTTGACCTTCACAAGTGTATTTTAACTCTTACTAGTTAATGAGGCAGAATGGCTAAAGGAGAATGGAGTTGGGAACTTTACTTATTCTGTGGGATATGAGAGTCTGGGCCTGTGTCACAGTGGCAACTTTTTTTCTTCTCTGTGCCAGTCATGAGGGGAGTTTCTCTTGGCTCTTCACCAGCTTCCTAAAGATAAAACCCGTGAAAGTGTGAGGGTGACCCTGAGTCCGTGGGCCACTAGGAAGTTCTTACTCTCCAGCTTCTGCAGCCTCCAGAAACTTGTTAAAGTTTCTGTTTAGATATTTCTACCATTTCCTGCTCTAGGTACGCAGCTCTTAGTTGTTATTTTGTGGATTCACCCCTCTCTTGATTCCAGGGCAGTAATTTCCCATCTCAATTCTCTGATGAGTCTGCATAAAGTCATTTTCATTTTGCTCAGGCTTTTTTTTTTGTTGTAAAGGCAGGTATAACTTCTGAGTTCTTTACATGTGGGAGCTGAAACTGAACATCCTAGAATTCCTTTTGTATTTTAATATTTTTAGTCTGCTTTTAATGTGTCTCCGAATTTTACCATGGTAGTACAGATCAAAATCAGTACTAATTATGGTGATAAGAACAGTGACAAAAATAATTGTATTGAGAATAGGAGGAGAGACATTTGGGTTGGTAGACAGTAAGATGAGTATGAATTTATCCTTCTGTATTCTTCGTAAGCCCTCTGTTTGGACACATTGATCTAGACTAGGGATTGGCAGACTTTTCCTGTAAATTTCAGGCCTTGTAGGCCATACTATCTCTATTGCAGTTGTTGAACTCTAGTTGTGGCACAAAAACAGCCAATTTTAAGCAAACATGTATGACTATGTTTTAATAAAAGTTTATCTGAAATTTATCTGCAAATACAGGCCGTGGGCTGGGCCTGATCCATGAACCATCGTTTACAAACCACCTGTCTAGATCGATGGTTTAAAATTTTTATTCCATATTACTGACATTAATTGTCATTAGATGGTGGCCATGTTTTATTTCCATATATTTTATCATATTCAGATATTATCTCTGTTGGGATGAAGATGTTCATATTCTATCAGAAGCGTTCCAAAAATCTTAAAGTTAGGCATCATTGGTTCCTGCTTTATTTAATGAGTAGAAACTGTATCTTAAAATTGCTTTGTAGACATGAATCTTGTTCATTCAGAAGAATAATAACAAAAACCCCTGTGCAGTTGTTTATACATTTATTTGGGTGAATTACTTAATGTCTGTGCTTTTTCCCCCTTTGGTATGTGTGCACTAAGGGGCTGGTGATGGAACACATGGCCTAGTGCATGCTCAGCAAGCACTGTAACAATAAGCTATATGCCTATCCTTATTTACTCTGCATTTTCATTATTTCACTTTATCAGGTAGACCTGTTAGTTATTTTAAAAGTGAAATAACAGAAGCTTTCTCCAGGATCAGTACATGGTGGGTCCAAGACTGGAATCTAAGAGTGGAGCTCTTTTTAACAAATACTCATGGCAACTGGAGGCAGGGTTAGTAGATTGAGGATTAGTTATCATCAGAAGTTTTGCACTTTATTTTTAAGGAAAGTGAACTTATGCTCCTTATTTCAGATAATTCTATATTGGAAATTATTTCTTGGCAGCTCAAAGATAGACAGAAGTAGACCCCAAGTTACTGAAATGAATCAGGCAAATAGTTCTGTTTAAATATTATAGAATATTTAAACTGAAAGGAACCTTAGAGACTAACTCAAAGATCTAATTTTAGAGACAAGAAACCTGTCCAAAGAAGATGGTAATTTCATTCATTCTAGTGTGATTAAACAAAAGAGCACAATATTAGAACATTCTGAGAGCTATATGCTAGAGTCAATTTCTAGCTTCAGAAGATCAGTTGGTAAAATTTTTGTGAACCAATTATTGAATATACTAAAGATTACAATTTTTGCATAAACTCACAAATTATGTTGAAACAGTTACTTTATGCTCAGATGCATCACTTGCTCATTACTTTATTATCTGTTTTTCTTAACTGAGGTCTTGGAGTTACTTACTTTTAGTATACCCGCATCATGTTAATTCATTGTTCTATAATAGTGTCCCACCAGCTCTGCGCTTAATGGTGTCATGTTGATGGCTTGACAATGGCCACAGGGCAATACATACCCCATGAAAATTGGTGTAGCTGACAAGTAATACTCCCACCCCTTCCCTCGCTGAGCCCTAGCCATTTGATTAATACTTACTGGCATGTTACCCTCCATGACTGAGTGTTGTATACTTGTCTGTTTATGTGTCTAATTCAGCTGCAAGCTTGCTACTTCTCTGAGATTTGGAACTTCTGTACTTAGTGTCCAGCATAATGCATAGTGTATAGTTGGCAGACAGTATTTTTGGTCATTTAATCTATGATACCTGTCTTGTCTCCATCATGTAATCTGTCCATGTGATCTTGTTTTTGTATCCTTTGTTTATGAGTTACTTGGGAATAATATTGGTAGCCTCCTGCGATTGTTGTGATTGTGAGGATTAGTGAAAAGACATAGATAAGCAGCTGTTGCATAGTATCTACAAAAAAGTGATTGATTTTTTTTTTTTTTTTGGTACCGGGGATTGAACTTGGGTCCTTGCGCTTGCAAGGCAGGCCACCGAATATTGACTTTTATTATTATATCAGAAGAAATAGACATGAATACCATTTTAGAGTCCAGACTTACATTTCTCCCAAAGCTTTGTATTAAGCGTTTGACCACAAACTGGATGAGAATCAAGAATGTTATTTTTGTGTATGTATGTATTCCTTATTCTTCCTCCACAAAATAATGGGATAAATTAAAAGGAATATGATATATAAGAGACAGGAAGCAATCCTTCTGTTATATTTGGCTCTGCTTAGACTCTTATTACAGTATCATGTCCAATTTTACAGTGCTCATTTTAAAGAGGATGTCAAAAAACTATATGTGGTGTATCCTGGGAAGAATCAACAACTATGATTAAAGGCACAGAAAATAGGCCCTTTGAGTCAAGTTTAAGGAACTGGGCTTGTTTACTCTGGAAAGCAGACGGTAAAGGAGTTAGTTACTTAACTATCTTCAAGTATATGAAGGGTTATTCTAAGGAGGATATTCAAGTTGTTCTCCAAATGCACAGAGCACCAAAAGAGGAAATCGACATTTTATTTAAAGAAAATTGTGTTTAACACTTAAATTGACTATCAGGGGATGGCATGGAATATCCATTTTTGAAAATATTTAAAAAGAGAGGCAAACAGATGGTTATTTATTGAAAAACTTAATGTTTGACCTCATGAAAGTGAGAGGCAGGATTGTAGACTTTGCAGCATTTTCTACTTCTGTGATAGAATTTTTTACATTTACTGCAATTTACCAGGCATATCTCATATATCTTAATGGAAACAACTTATAATTTTGATAAAATGTCTTACCATCTTAAGTACTGGTTATATCTTGAATGGAGCCATTTAATATCATTTATTTGCTAAGAAATTTAAATTGAAGTCAATTTTTATATTAAAAATTCCACATTTGTATTTTTACACCCTACCTGACCTACTTGAAGCATCACTTAAGAGTGTTTATTATTAATGTTTTTTCAAGTAATACAGTATAAAAATTCTGTAACTCTTTCATGACAGGGAATCCTCTTGGTATACGATATTACAAATTATCAAAGCTTTGAGAATTTAGAAGACTGGTATACTGTGGTGAAGAAAGTGAGTGAGGAGTCAGAAATTCAGCCCTTGATTGCTTTGGTGGGCAATAAAAGTAAGTGGTTACTACTTATTTATGTACAATTTATTGCTGCTGTGGACTGAATGTTTATGTCCCCCTAGTAATTTGTATGATGAAGCTTGAATCCCCAGGATGGTGGAAATTGGAGGGGTTTCAGGAAGGTAAGTAGGTCTCTTTTGAATGGGATTAATGCCTTTATAAGAAGTGATGCTGTGTGAGAGACGATCTTGTTCTCTGCCACAGCAGAATACAGCAAGAAGGTGGCCATCCATAAACCAGAAAGAGGGCATTCGCCAGGCACTGCACTTACCAGCACCTTGATCTTGGTCTTCCTAGTCTCTGGAATTGTGAGGAATGATGTTTTTTAGGCTGTCAGTCTGTGGTATTTTGTTATAGTGACCGGAACAAAGAACTTAGACATTTGCCTAGTCTATATTTTTTATTTCTGAGGAAAAGTTTGGGTATTTGGAAACAGCTTGTTTTGGAACTGTTTCCAAACTGTATTGAACAAATTGAATAGAAAGTTCTGGTGGTTGTATACAATCTTTTCAATAACTTGTTTTCATAAATGATATCTCTTCTTTGAATTTCATACATGGTATCTGTTCCTTAAATTAATGTACATTACATTCTGAGAAACGTGTATTACACCCCTCATTTCAGGCATTAGAGTGTGGTAAAGACCAACCTTCATTGACTCTATTCTGTTTAATAACTGTTTTGATGCTTTCTGTATCATAACTACTTTGTGGCTTTTTTTTTTTTTTTTTTTTTTTTTTTGTGGTCCTGGGGATTGAACTCAGGACCTTGCGCTTGCAGGCAGGCGTGGTGCCACTGAGCTAAATCCCTGGCCCTACTTTGTGGCTTTTGGCCAATTCATGTGAAGGTAAGTTCCATTCTGACAGTGTGTTTTGGCTTCTGTGGTGTAAGGAAGAAGCATAGACTATTAAGCACAGCTGTAGATTTTATGATACTGCGTTGGTGCGTCAACTCTGTTCTCTGAGGCTTTGAGACACATTTCATCAAACGACCTTCCGTCTAGAGAAGGATCCAGTGTCTTTGTGGAATTCTATATGCATTGTTTCTTGCTCACATCTCTTACATACTCCCTTTTCTGAATTTTTATGGTTTGTCTTAAAATACAGATAATTTTGTAAGAATATATTAAGGAGAGGAGCAGCCTTTGATAAAAAGGTGGGGGGTAAGTAATTTTTGAGGTCTGTTTTTAGTTTATGATATATAGCACATAAAATTCATAAAGTTCAACTCAGTTTTGGGCTGCTATCTGGTTCATAATCCTGCAATGCAGTAACTTCAGAAAGGAGACATTAGTAAAGGTTTACAAATAATGAAATTGTATGATATGACCTAATAGTCACCAACTCATTTGAGGTCAGCAAAAGAGAAAATGAATTCATATTATACAATGGAAAATTTAGGTCAGGAACTGTTTCCTGACTAAGAGAGTTGTTAATACCCGTGGATACTACCAAGAGAATTATCTTTTCCGAAGTTCTTTATAAATATAGTATATTTTTTCCCCTGCAATTGTTTAGGAAATAGTGTGTCCTAAAGGGCCAAACTTAGATTTATGTATATGTGGTTTTGTACACTGAGATGAACATTTAATAAATCTAAACTTTAATTTAAAACCATTACAAAACAGGTGTGAATGTAATTTCTCTGAAGAGTTAGAAATGCTGATATTACTCCCTAGAAAACTATTACAAATCACAAAATGGCATGACTTGCAACGAAATGGTAGTTTTTTAATGTTTTAAAAGGTTTAATTACATTTTATCTGTTTTGTAAGCATTTAAAAAAATCAGATGCTTTTCAATTTATTGAAATCTCCCTTTACAAATGGCAAGTTTTGGTGAGCTTATGTTATATTTCTGGGTTCAGCTTTTCATTTAAGTAGATCATTTCTTAGTGACTCATCATAAAGCATTGGCTTATACCGTGGTTAAATTTGTGCCTCTTGGAAGTTTCCCATCACCTTATGGGAAATTACTGAGGAGGGTGGGGAATTGGGATTTGTTTTCATTCCTTTCAGGATATAATCTAACCACCACCTAAGATAATGTTGTAGTGGTACATAATTATATTCTTTATGTTATGTGTTTATGGTATCCTGTGAGGTATCCACTATTGAACACAGTCAAAAACAGAGTATCAAACTAGAGGAGCTATTGGACCGGACTGGTGGGACCATTCCCTAACCAGGTTGAAAAAATAAATATTTGAATTTTTGCCAGAAATTAATACAATGTTGTGTTTGATATTTAATAGTATAAAAGTCAAGGTGTTTTTCACTTTGGGTCCTTTCTTACATGTATTTATAATGTTCTTTTTAAGAATGAAATCATGCAGCACAGTATATAGTCACATAGAATGTTATATATGTAAAATGAAGAGATTAAAGATGGACATTTTCCTGGATATATTTTCTACAAAATCTGTCACTGACCCAATTTCATGTGATCATATGATGAAAGATGCTTCTGTAGTTAAGCCTATTATGGCTATAACTGTGAGTCTTCTGAATATTTTACAGTTGTGTATTAATTTTTTCTTTGGGGATATAATTTCATAATGCCTTACAATAATAAAATTCATAAAGTCATCTTATATTCACTCAAAGCAAAGCAAAAGAAACATGATGGAAAGAGATCTGAAACTGGATTATGCTTATTATCTAAACAGTCATCTTCTGCTTAAATGTTTTTAAATTCATCATTGTGTGCTACTTGCAATTTAAATAGAAAGCACATGTTGAAAACAAGTATGTGTAGTCTGAAAATACTAGTAGCAGTAGTCAAATTTTAGCTAAATTTAGTGGAAATAAAATACGTGTATGGATTTATTTCATACTATGAGCAAGTTATAAGATTATTTGCTTTTTATTGAAAATAGTAAACACAAAAATTTGGGCTGAGGATAGGGGAAAGTCTGATACAAAGATGAACTAAGTTTTTATTTTTATGGAAAAGTAAGTTGTACTGTGTTTAAATGTAATGGGTAAATGAGCAAGTTGATGAAGCAGCCAGGGGAGAAGGAAGTTGGACAGAAAAATTTGTAATTACTGCATAATTATTTCAATATACAGTAATTAAAATTATGCAGTAGTTACAATAAATTATTTTTGCCTATAGTCTGTTCTGAAAGTCTACCAGACATTAGTGATATTTCTTTGTATGATTTAAGTTATTAAGTGACATATTGAGTAGTAGTTAAGATTACCTTGCTTTGGGGCTGGAGATACAGCTCAGTGGTGCTGCTGCCTGCCTTGCAAGTGCAAGGTCTGGAGTTCGATCCCTGGTACCAAAAAAAAAAAAAAAACCAAAAAGATTATGGTGTTTTGGATTTAGATGCACTTTATTTACAAATCCAGTTTCTTCATGTAGCATAAATGTGACATTGGAGAAGTTACTTTACATCTGCAAATCTTAATTTTCCTCATGCGGAAATGAGAGTAATAGTTTCTGTTTGATAAAGTTGGTATAAAAGTTAAAGGAGATATTGCATGAAAAGCACTGACCATGCATTCGTATGCCTGTAAATGTTCAGTAATATTCATCATTATTAATTGCAATGGCCTTTAAAAAGTACGGAATATACTTAGCTTCAACTTAATGATCATAAATTGTAAATTAATAGAGATTAAATAGATGTTTCATGAAACTGGCTGGGAGGAAATAGTTCCTAGCAGATTTCCTTGTCTCTGTCTTATTCTTTCACTGCTTTTTCCAGATTGATAGTTTTCATACTATGCTTTGAGCAGTTTTTTGTTGCCACCTATGCATAGTAGTCCAGCCGTTGTTAATTTGCTCAGATTGAGCCAAACACGGTTCTTAAGGAGTGATTAGAACCTGCCAAACCAGGTCTTAATTTTTTTCTTTTTCTCTACCACATTCTATTCTTCTCAAAATTCCACTGCCTTTCTTTTGCACTATCTAGTTATTGAGATTAATATATTATGTCCAAACCTCCTTCAAAAGTCATGCTTTTACTTAGGTAAACAAGAAATTCTTGGTAGGGAATTTTTTTGTTTGTTTTTGTTTTTGAGACAGGGTCTCACTCACAGTGTAGTTCACGCTGGTCTTGAACTTACTGTATGGGTCTCAGACTTGCAGCCGTCCTCCTATCTCAACCTCCCAAGTGGTGGGATTTACAAGTGTGTGTCACCAAGCCCTGCCTGAGAGGGAAACTTTAAAATGGGAAAGAGGTTAACTTAGCTCCTTATTTTTTGTGCACATCAGATGTTCACCTGAATTGTAGTGATCTCTGAAGCCTCATGTGGACCAAAGATTCTGCCATGTATGTGCCTGGAAACAGTTATATTGCCATATAAGGCTACTTACTTCTGCAAGGCAGGGAGCTGAATCCGCCATGCCTACCTCCTGGTTTCCTGGCTTTGAGAGGTTTCCTGCTCTTGTAGTAGTGGGGCACTGTCACTGGATCGAAGCCTACACTGCAGAGAGGGATACCAAATTTATGTCCACTTTTTCATGGGTGGACCTGGCCATGGCTAGCATACCACTGTCACCTCTCGTGTCAGCTACTCTGTACTCCTGACCGGCCTCCTTGCCCCTCACTCTGTTCTACAGTCCAGTTCCCAAGTGATATATTATGTTAGGTGATTCTTCTGCTTGAAATCGCTTAATACTTTTTCATCATACTTAGAGTGGAAACCAAACTCCTGTCCAGGTTTACCAGGTCTTCCTGATCTGGCTCTTACCTACTTCTCATCTCTTACAGACTTCCTTGCCCACTATATACTCAAGGCTTGTCGGTCCTTTTTTATGCTCCCAAAACATTTTGAGTTCACTTGTACCTTAGAGTTGTTTTCTGTTTGAGATGCTTTTCCCTCTGACTGCCTTTATCTGCATCATGTCATTTTCATGTCATCTTAACTGTCATCTTCTTAAAGTTGCCTGCCTTGATCATTCATTGTAAATGAGCCTCCAGTCTTTTCTCTCAGGTCGGTACGTTTGTTTTTGTTTGTTTGTTTTGTTTTTGGTACTTTGGTA